AGTAAATTATATTATTAACTTAATTTTTAAAAATATTTTATCTTTAACCAAGTAACTTTATAAAAATATAAATGATATAACTAATAATAATGGGAATAAGAAACCTTGTTCTTCGTCCTCCTCCTCTATCAGATCTTCTGAAGTTCGAACAGATATCTTAGAGTTTAGACGTGATGGAGGACGGCGCCAAGAGTGACGCAAATGAATGCTGCCACTTCCATGAGAACGAGTGCTGTCACTGGATTGCATTCGATTATATTTTGGTCTACCGGTAGCAGGGTCTTCTGGGTCTAAAACAGGAGGTAATGGATCATCGTAATCTCCCCAGTCATGGCAAGGCAGAGGACTTGAAGGATCGTGAGACATTTGCCTACTCAACGAAACTAGCCTGGGTCGAGGACGTATCTCCTGCAGAATAAATTTTAAAAAGATATTAATATTATTCATGTATTAGTTTATAATCCTGGTTCAATTGAAACTTGTTTTGTTTTTAGTAACATCAACGAACGCAGACCATTTTCATCATTCAAATTCAAAGTGCATAAATTAAAAAATACTCAAAAAGTGAAAAATAAAAATCTGAAAATGAAGGCAAAAGATAAAAAATTAAAATTAAAAAAAGGAAAGTGTTTTAGTAGAAACAAAAACAAAGAAATAATTATGACAAGAAATATTCAACATCAAAATACTTATTAGTTACATGATGTTCTTTTATATTTTTTGTAATTTTGTGCACTTTTTTTTGTAGAGAATCCTGACCAAAGTTTCATTCACCTATTAATATGACTTAAAACTGTTAAAATTAATCCATTATTATTCAAACTCAAGACTTTCAAAAGTAATCAATTTAAATGACATTAACACGATCATTTTCAAGTTTAACAGTCTTACTGTCTAACCTGTGTGGAAGCTGTTCGGTACAGAGTTTGTTTTGATAAGATACGGACTAGCTTGTGTCTCTCTCTTGCTGTTCCGTCATCTGGATTTTGCCGTGCCTTTTCCTCTTTCTGCATAGCTTTCCTGTAGGTTACAAAAAACTCTCTGTCCGAATTCTCAAGCTCTGCTAAAGTTCCCTGATGTTTTATACGTCCTTTTTCTAACAACAGGATCTACAAAAATTAACAATTCTGTTTTCTATACTTGTATCTATGTACACATTTACAAAACTAGAGCATCAAGATGAAATCTTATTTTTATAACTTCCGGAAAGAACAGATGGTTAGGTGTAGAAAACAAGCAAGTTTGTGTAATAAAAAAC